GTTTCCTGAAATGCTGTGGCGTTTTCTGAAATGCTGTGGCGTTTCCTGAAATGCTGTAGTGTTTTCTGAATATATATATATATAATAGAATAAATAGTTGTATCATGCCTAAAAGCTGCTGTGTCGTGTATTGCGCTCATGTATGGATGAAAATGTCATACTGTGAACAAACAGCACAGCAGGATTGATTCCCTTTGTTCACTCACCCTGGCAGTCGTGGGAAATATTTTTGAGATAATACTGGACCTTTAATGAATATATATGGGCAAGAAGTACTCCGTTACAAGAACAAATTACTGCATTAAAACTTACTGAAGTAAAAGTACAATAGTAGAAGAAGCAAAATATACCTAAAGTACTGAAAGAAAAGTACTTATGAGTAATGGCCCATTTCAGAATGGATTATGATAAAGCACTGAAAGATGATTATTGATGCATTCATTTACAGCTAATTTGTATTACTTTATGATTTATATTTTATATCAGCTATTTGCTGAATGTATAAAGTAACTAATAAATACAATTAAATAATACAACATTGGTTTCTTAAATGTACTGCAAGAATAAAGTAGCATAAAATAAAAATACTCAAAATACTTCAAGTACAGTACTTGAGTTAATGTACTTTGTTACATTCAACTGCTGAAATATATATAAGAAAACTTAAGATATAAGATATTAAACATTTTTTAAATGCTACACTGAAGTTTAGGTGCCACTGCCAGCGGATCTGCATTACAGCGTTACATTTTAAATTAATTCAGGTAACATACTATGTCTTTCAACCCAAAAAGGATTTAATTAAAGTTTGTGTCAGTGAAAAATACTAAGTATCTCATTGTTAAAAACCTGCATGCTTAAAGGCTTTTCCACCTCTGGCAAGAGCACCAATTGTGAGGTCGTCTCTGAAAACATTTTGAATCCAAACTAGTCAAATCTAAAAGGAATGAATACTGAAAATATAATATTGTCCATCATCGGCTAGAGTTAAAGAATATAAGTAGTGCCATCGGCATGTAAACTCATTAATACAAAAAGTCTTTAAATGTTTCATACATGTGTCACATGTGTAACCACATTTAATAATTAAGGCTGTGACATCCTAGAGGGCATTCATTACTGTGACTGTTGCTATTTTGATAATGCGCTGCATCTTACACTGTGCAATACTCTGGCGTGCTCTGGCATTAATAAAAGTTATTCATTTATACTGTTCATTTCAACCTACATTCTTATTAACACTGTAGTTATTTATTTACTGTGCATTTAAACTTGCGTTTGTATTCATATTATAGTTATTAATTTATATTAAACATGTCAAACTTATATATATTTATTATAACGGTTCTAGTTTTTTCATGCAACTCATTTAATCATGAATCCTATTTTTTCAGCATTTTTTATCACAATATAAATACAAGTATTATTATGTAATATGTATATATATATAATATATATTTATTTAAGATATTTTTTTTCCCTGTTTTAACATATTTGTATCATTGTAGTATAGTTGAGATATTTTTACCGTTTTATATTTTTATTTTTATCTGTTTTTGTTTGTTATTTTTAACATAACCCAATTTCCCCCGGGTATCAATAAATTATTCCTGATCTTGCACCTACTGTACTGCATCAGCATTGTCGCAGTGGGATACACTGTTTTAAATGTCAGCAAGGACAAAATGCATATGCAACAAAAAGTGTGATTGGCTGAAACAGTGAGTAACATCAGGTTGTGATAAAACGATCATTAGCTAATTATACTAGAGCTGTATGGTGTCACAACAACAATCGCAGTACAGACAGTCTAACTAAACAAAGATCCGCTATTATTATGAAGATGTGATTATGATACCTTCAACCTGATAAGAGTGAATAGAGTTTAGCTGGAAGTATAAACCTGCAATCTAGCAGGGGTTTTCCAATAGTATCAAACATCTGAATTCATCACCAGTAACTGCACGCCTGTCTTCCCTTGTGCAATAAACTGAAACATACTGTATATTACAGATGCTGCACACTTGCTTCAAACACATAGACCATGCAGCACAGTGGGGAACCATCACAGATCAGTGAGCAGCAGCATGAAATCTGACTTATTTCAAAAACAATTTCAAAAAGGCATGAACACAATCTCATAGATGAGAGCAGGGGCGCCGTAAGGGGGTGAAAAGTTAGGACGATTCTAAGGGCTGACAGCGGCCCAAACAATTTTAGAACATTAAGAAAAAAATGTTTAAGTAACCTTTCATCATTCATCAATAATTAACATTAATAGAACGTTATATTGATAATGTACTCACTAAACTTACGATTCATTTAACTTATTTTCTTCCAAAAGTGAATTATCCAAAGCCTCTGTACACCCCCTTCTATTTACATGTAATGGTTTGGTCTTGCCTCCAAAGCGGTGCGGCACCAGACATGGTCTCAACGACTAACAAAGTCAGGCTTTCAAAATAGAAAAGAAAGGAGAGAAAGACAAGAGAGAGGGACTAAAGGGCGACAGTATGTCCCCCAGTTTTTCAAAAGAAAAGGTGGGTGTGGTCCATGAGTGGTGGAAATTAGACTGTTAGCTAAGCGTAGTCCATTGTAAATAATAATTGTAATGTTTTTTTTTACTAAACTGACATTAAGTACTGTTAATATCTATTCAGAGGTTTTTCATTTCAATGCTCTTTTAGCTGACATTTAACAAATGCAGGTACATTTTTAGCAGCTATTCATACTAAATCAGTTGTCCCTCCCCCTGGTGCCAGGACCAACAGATCCATCTTTAGGCTCAGCAGCCCTGTCTCCCCATAATGCTGAACCTGAACCAGCTTTTCTCCCAACTGAAGGAGGTGAGCAGCATTGTGTTGAATGACATGCCACTTAACATATCTGAAGGGAGACTGGAATACAACATATATATATATATATCAAAACAAAAAGCTAACATCTAATTTCAATTATACATTTCAAACACAGTATTTTTCCACATATTTAAAGGACACCTATCATGCTATATTTAAATTATATATTGTAGGGCCATACCTATATAAAGTATATTTATACGTTTCTGTTTTCAAAATACCAAACAGATCATGCATTTTAGCCATGCCTCATTTCGCTCTATTTGCTGTTCTCCAGCCCTGTTTTTGCAGCGGGCTGATTCTGTGAGCTGCAGCTGACCACGCCCCCCTGCAGGAGAGGGGAGCCGTGCTCTGATCAAGTCAGAGGGGGAGAAAAATAGATCTCCGTCCTCCGTGTTTTATTATATAGAGTCGTTATTCATTTGTTTTAAAGCTCAATAAATAACAAAGAAGACCTTTGACCGGCGCTTTTCTAATTTTGTCCGGAAGATTTAAACTTTAACGGACATCTTGACCGGCGAAAGAAAACCTAACTGAAACTATGCCGCACAGTCCCCTCGTTCCTTGGAAGAGGCGGAGAGGTGGGTGTTTGTCATCTGCTGGTGGACTAACCGGAGAGAATTGCAGTGCTTGCCTCGACGGGGAGGGATTGCATACAGCAGCGGGAGCAAACGCTTGCCTCGGGGAGGGAGAAAAAAAAGCCACAGCGGAGAATAAACAGAAGGGTAACCATAGCAACCATGCGCGAGAAGTCTTCTTCGCTGCTTTTGTGGCAGACTACAGCGCCACTTACAGGCCTGGCATATGTACTACAGCGTCTCCAGCGCTTTCGAGCGGCAATGGCCGGCCGTGGCCCAACCCCACATTCCCCTGATAGGTGGAGAGTTGGCCCAATAGCCGTAGCGCCACTTTCCTGACGTCAGGACAGTGTTCAAATCTGGATCAGTTTGTATCAGATCCGTTGCAGCCCCCTTTTTTTTTAAATTTGGGTATGGAGGAAAATAGAGAGGGTTGTGTTTTCTGACACTTGGTGAGTTCCCTGGAACACCGGGGACACATATTCATGTATAAAAGACGTACAAAAGTGCATTTTGCATGATAGGTTCCCTTTAAGTTATATTTATTTGGATTTAAGCATTCATGTTGAGAATGTTCCATTCAAAAACGTTATTATTAAAAAGGCGTTTACACCATAAAAGATGACTATTGAGATCTATTGTCAGGAATGTTAGTCTTATATCAAATAGTGAATTCTACTGCAGCAGAATGTTGCAAGTCTGCACAGTGTTGTATTTTCACAGCTCAGTGTCAGTAAATATTGTGCAGTTAGTATTGGACTACAAGATAGATGCAAGCCTGTACAGGTAGAGTTATTTAAAGCATAAATGAGTCGGTTGGGTTCTGGAGGTGTGGTTACAGCAATTGTGCTTGGTTGGCGTGGCCTGTGCCTGGTGGTGGGGCCCAATGTGATATATTTTCATGGGGCCCAAAATCCCTGGCGGCGCCCCTGGATGAGAGTATACTACATACTGTATGTCCCTTCCCTGTGGTCAGAACATGTCAAAGAATATATTGAAAAATCCATGAATACCACAATCGAATGTTAGCAAGAGGGTTACAGTAAACTAGCTAATATCTGTAACCAGACGGATAAACAATGGCTTCTAAAATTGGCCAAAAGCTAGCTAGAAAGCACTAGCTGCAGCAAGCTGGCTTTTGTTGATGAGCAACATAACTATGTTCCTGATTGGCCACACGATTTGAGCCGCTAATGGCTAATTAGCTATTTGTTATTAATATTTTATGCTAGTAAATTGGAAAAGACATTGGAATTCTGCATTTACCACCAGTCAAATAAGTGGGGCTGCTTTTACCCAAAAAAGGGCAGGTCATGATGAAATGGCAGAGTACATTACATTACTTATCCAAAGTGACTTACAATAAGTACCTAAAAAGTGCTCAGATGTGTTTTTCTCATCCATGCTAAGCTAAGTAAACAGTTTTGATCATGTGCACCTGTTTGAGTGTTTTTGTGTGTGATAGGCTTCATGTTTGGAGAAAACATTTCAAATTAGCTTATTATCAGATCTGAATGAGAAATTAAAAGTGTAAAATACTGGAAAATGACAGTAGAGTAATTACCGGGGGGCTTCTGAAGATGTAAAAATATGGTCCTCTCAGTGCCAGGAACTTGAAAGCTGAGGTTCTACCAGCGGCGCTACCCTCAGGGCTTTCACACGCCCAGCCCATGTGAACAACCTGCAAAGGATGACATTTGCATGTTTAGAATTGTATTTAAAGAAAAATACATACACAACAGGTATTTTCTTGCTCAATCAACAAACCAGGTTAAGAGTGTGTGTACATTCAGAGATGTTGAGTTAAAGAACTATAGTGCAGTGGTGCTGCAGTCCCAGCTGTTTGCAATAGTTTACCCTTTTTTCTACCTCAGATTGACTTGGGGAGGTTTGTATCTGTATCTTTACTGAATGCACTGTACTGCTTCATTAGCTACACCTTCTAGATCTTGTGATGCATAATGCACATTCTCTTCCTGTCTCCTTCCCTCCCATCTGAATGGTAAATAGGAGTTTCAAAATGTTTCCAAAGTGCTTCTCGGCTTGTTGATGAAACCGGAGCTGGAGCGCTTCGATTGTACACAGATTAAGTGATTCTTTACACCTGTTTAACATTTCCTCTATAAAATGTCCTGGCTGTGAGGGATGTCCATTAAACTTTTAAGTAAAGGTTTGATTCTGGGCTCTCACAGCCTTTTCTGTCTGTATCTGTAAAGGCACTATCAAATAATAGTATACTTAGTTTTAACTGCTATCAGTGATATAATGTGACTTTTGTAATGAAATACAGTATGGTTTCCAAAATATGCGTCAGCATACCTGATCATCTGAAGAGCAGTATTTGTTGATAATCTTTATCTGTGAGATAAAAAAAATATACAGTTAGAAGAAGCTGTTATATATATTATTACAAAAGTTATCCTCACCCCAAAAAACACCTCAAAATAGTATTGTTGAGAAAGCCTTGAAATAGTCATATCACATATTGTCCACCCCTATTATATATTTTTGCTGCTGCTTGACAAAACCTGATATTTTAGGAAACTGTTTTGAATTGTTCTGCCAAAAAAAGTGCATATTCATGTTTTTTCAGTATTTTCAAATGTACAACTTGAGGTCTAAGAAGACAAATAACTGAATTTGTATATAGATGTGTTATTACCAAATTCAAGTATTTCTGGACTTATTGGATCATATTGCACATTTCTGCACTAAACTTTTTATCATAAAAAAAACTATTACATTTTAATACAAATATATATTAGATCAGTATTTTCTAAAGTAGTTTCTTCACATTTGTATCATCATATAATAATTATTGTTTCTATTTAACACATTTCTTATTTTTCTTATTCTTTCTATTCAATAATACTAGTGATTTGAGTTAATATTATGCACCAATTCACAAAAACAAATTCCTTCTATGTGAAGTCTTACTTGGCATTGAACTGGATTCAGGTTACTTGAGAAGGCAGAAAAAAACTTAAACACATCTACTATTAATTGAATTAAATTAAATGTGATAATTCCATTACAAAATAAGACAATTATTATTTGACGACATTACCTTGGTCTGTGTAGACTTCTTGCTAATAATCTAAACCTCACAGTAATTATTGCTGGCAAAAGAAATAATGTAGTTTATTGTTTTGTCTAACCTTTTTTTGATTTGAAGGTTCAAATGTACTAACAAGAGGATGTCACACATGTTTAATGCAATCTGAAAACCACGTTTAGGCTCCAAGAAGGTATAAAGTTAGGAGCCTCTGAAACGTTGACTTCTTACTATGTATTTTGATGCTGATCAAAAATGTTGCAAAGCATTTTAATACTGAGGGACCCCTGCTGTCAGCATATCCTGCTCAGCATGACGCCTGCTGCTGTCTCGCCTCAGTTACAAAGTGAAGGTAAATTCTCACCTGAAGAACTGTTACATAATTAGCCACTAACAAGCAGCCGATTAGTCTCGTCTCTCTAAAAGAACATCAAACAGCATCGAGCGGTCTTCCAGATGACAGTCCTTCACATTAAAAACACACGTGGGACCCCGAGGGTGTCGCCGAGTCTATTTAAAGGTTTAAGGTCATTAAAACAAAAGTTCTGCTCCATCCGAAAGCAGGCGCACAATTACATCCTGATTGGCCATTTAGCAATCACACTCCACGTCCGTAATTAGGTGATGCAGGCAGGAATTAATCACACTTTTTTTTCTGTTAACGGCAGCTGCGCAATCGACATACAGTACGTCTGTGTCCTTGGCGAAAATGCATCACATCATCAGCGCGATAATCAAAGTGAAATAGGAGGAAATGAGAGTGCACATAGCGAATGACTACTACAGTCATTAATTAGGTATGAGAGAGGCTCTTTTTGTCAGCAGAAGGGGGGGGGGAGCCTGTGACTCAATGAGTGCTTGACGGGAAGGGTCTATTAACACCATGCAACACTGGTGACACACACTATGTGATGGTTGGAAAACTGTGGGCAAAACATATTTATTACTTTTCTGTGTTTTCTTTATCAACACTGCTTTATTGACTTCACAAGTGGGTAAATACCCAAGATACTAGATGTTCACACAATTGTGAAAATAACAGTTTTCAACTTCGATCAAGACTCACGGAGAGATCCTACAAAGCCTTTAATGGTAAGAGGTGGACTTACATTCTCCTGTGTCAACTCGTTGATATTTGTAGATATTGCTTGGAGCCAGTCGGTGCTTTCTGCTGCAGTGCAAAATTGAAGAATATTTGTACTGGCTCCATCCAAGGCAAACACTTCAAAACAGTTGGACCTGGAGGAGAATGGAGGTCAGAATTAGATTGTGCAGAAGATTCAAAGACACAAGGTGAATCTCAAACTGCTAGTTACTTCTGTAAAATCACTTGAAGCCAGGGGGAACTTTCTTTTTCCAAGGGTCATTTCAATTTAATAACATCCTTCAAGGGCCTTGCTAAATTATTGAGCATTTATTTTGGTTTCACCTGAGACACAAAGTCCGTAGTCCTTAGTTTTTTACCGTTGAGGACAGCATGTTCTAAAAAGTTTTCACAACAAATAAAAGGGTCATTGTTTTAAAGTGCTCCTATCATGCTATTTTTAGGCATATATTATGGGTCTCAGATATATACAAATATATAAAAACATGTCTATGATGTGTTTTGCTCAAAATACCAAACAGATCATACATTTTACAAATCCCTCATATCCCTCTATTCCAGCCCTGTTCGAGAAACGCGGATTATGGGTCCTTAGCTTGAAAAAAAAAAAAAAGGAGGCGGAGCTAATGCCTAATCAGAATTCTACCGGAGATAAAGTTAAATTCTGCTGTGATAAAACACCATCCTGTTCTAAACCACATCAAGGATTATTTCTGAAACAGTATGGAGCTCAAATGCTTTTTCTCTTGCGGTTTATCACAAGGTGAGTTCTTTTTTTATTTCCTGCTTTTTAACACATGTGCTCTACAGCAGGGGTTCCCAACCCCCGGTCCGCGGACCGGTACCGGGCCGCGGAGGTGTTACTGCCGGGCCGTGAAATAGCTGTGAGTTTATCGTAATATTTGCAGAATTATAAATATATACAAATATTTTATCATAATATTTTTTTCAAAAAGTGTTTAATTTTCGCACCTATGTCACCAGTCATATTATTTGATCCAGTAGCTAGTTAATCTTTCACCAGAAAACGGTTGAAAATGGCTTTTATGATGTTCCGAGGGATTCGGCGGCTCAGCCTAAGGTCTCAGCCTCTTGTGCGCACGAGCATGTTACCGGTGCGCCAAGTAGGAAGAGGAGCGCACAGGAGACAACCGTTTGATTGCAGACTGTTATGTTTATGTGGGGAAATGGTGGTGCATACATTATTTGAGATATATTTCAAACTCGGACTTCATTTTAAGGACATGTCGGCCAGGGGTGTAGAGCTATTTGTTTAAGCACCGGATTGGCAAAACAGGAGAGTAAACCAGTCTGCCTTGATCTATGAATTAATGTCCGGGACTCTCACGGTATCTGCTGCCTGCAGCTGTTTTATAGAAGGAAACCCTCCTTCACTTCATGAAATGGCTGCAAGCATCAGGAGGCAGCGGGACGTACTCGGTAAAGAGCTGTGCCTTTTTACGCACCGCCTTCGCTGTGTTTAACTTAATCAGAACAGTTTAAGAGTGACTGCAGGCTGCTACGTGTTAACCACACACACATCTACACACATCGAACTGCCCGATTACTCCCCCTTTTATTAGTTTTATGAAGGAGATGTCCAGTCAGTCACCAAGGCGCATGATGTGTGTGTGTGTGTGTGTGTGTATGTGCTCTGCTCAGCTCAGCTCTGTGTGTTCGGTGTGTTTGTCCGACACCGGCATATATGCGGCTGTTCCCAAAATAAATTAGTTTAATCTTAATCTCGATGTAGTGCTATGCTGTCGGGAGTGCACCGGAACGAACGACACTATCATAATATCTTCTGAAAACAAATGCCAGTGACACACACACACACACACACACACACACACACACACACACACACACACACACACACACACACACACACACACACACACACACACACACACACACACACACACACACACACACACACACACACACACCACACACACACACACACACACACACACACACACACACACACACACACACACACACACACACACACACACACACACACACACACACACACACACACACACACACACACACACACTTTTTAAACTTTGTTAATATGTTTTGGATGCATATTGTTCTAGTATTTGTTCAGGCTGTTACATACAATTAGCCTCTGTTGCTACCTGCTGGTGGTGAGTAAATAATTAAAATCAGTTAAAATTGACAACCGGTCCGCGATTTTTTTTTAATGTATCTACCGGTCCTTGGCACAATAAAGGTTGGGAACCCCTGCTCTACAGTACAGGTTAGCTCTGAGTGTTAGCGAGGCTTGCTAATGTAAACAAAGACCATATTATGTCCAAAACACGTCAGGCATTGTTTCTGATAGCAACTTTCTGTGGGTCCACCATCCGAAATTACGTAATATCGGCAGCAAATCTGGATCAGCTCGTTGTACCCCCGTTTTTAAAAGATTTGGGTACGGAGGAAAAGAGAGAGGCTTTTATTTTCTGACGCTGCGCGAGTTCCCCGACGCACCGGGGACACATATTTATGTATAAAAGACATCAAAAAGTGCATTTTGTATGATAGGTCCCCTTTAAAATTAGATTTGAAGTCCACAACCCTTAGTTTCAAAATGACAACAACAAAACTGTTAACTGTGTGGGGGAAACTTCTGTAGCAATTGGAAACAGGACTCAGAGAGACACGAGGAGAGCTGGAGCTTTGATGGCAAATACTGGTGGTTTATTTGGAGTTACGGCCGGAGAATTCACAAGACAGGTGGTGTGTCACGAGTTGACACAGCGGTTTCCAAACCAATTCTGAAGAACTCTTCTGCAGCTCGAGGTTTTAACTAGTTCGGAGTGTAATAACCAACATTCTTTATCAGTGAGACGAAACAATTATGGACCCTGAATCTAACTAGAGCTCTCGTTCATAGAAAAGAATGTGCGCCAGGGAACCTACGTCCCTGAACAGTAAACTACCTCATGGCGGCTTGTGCTCTGTCATAGACTGGCAACAACAATGCGCCAAGCTGCCCCTCCTTAAGAGAGATAGCAGCAATACCCAAGGCCGCAGACCTATGCCGTGAGAAAAGAGACAGTGAGACGAGAAAATGATGAACTGTGTCGAAGGTTGAATACCTAAGCAAATTATTCCCTAACAAACTGTAACACAAAAGAAAAGTGATGATATATCCATTTGTTTCTCTCTGCTTAACATCCCAAAGCAATCTAATAGATGTCAAATAAATACACCCTGCAGTTCATGTTGAAAGAGCAACCCTTCACAAACCAAAAGTAAGAGGATTTTTGTGTTTTGCAGCACAAATGAGAATTTTTTGGTATTTTTGGGGATTATGTCATGTCCTCGGATAGCTCTTAGGATAAGCGCAGTGTTTTTCTGACACAATTGAATTTCTCAGTAGACAGGGTGTTGATGAGGTCACCCAAAGGGAGATCACACTAATCAGCAAAACGTGATACTTTTTGACATTTCCTTTTTAGTGCATTTGCACGCTGCTGACACTTTTAGCCTCAGAGATGCATTACATTACATTACATTACATGTCACTTGTTCGACGCTTTTATCCAAAGCGACTTACATACTCAATACAGTGGACAATCCCCACAGGAGCAATTTGGGGTGAAGTGTCTTGCCCAGGGACACAACGACATGCTGACTGCAGTGGGGTTTGAACCTGTGACCCCCTGATCCCAACACCAAGGCTCTATCCACTGCGCCACACACCTCCCAGATGCCATTTAAAAAGGAAGCAATTTTATGTTATGGTTATCTAATGGATGTTATATAATAGGATAATTTGCAACATTAGGGGAAATGTTAAGAAATGCTAGGTAGGTAGTGCATGTGAGAAGAGGGGAGTTGTTGTGGATAAACGTGAGGTGAAGGTTATTAAAAAAACACAGAGGCAATGGAAGGCATGGGATGTGCAGTATGAAGAAGGCAATCCTCCAAGACAGCACACACACACACACACACACACACACACACACACACATACACACACACACACACACACACACACCACCCACACACACCCACCGGTGAGCAGACGTTCTTACTGAATCTGAAATAGGCTTGTTAAAATGGTATGTTCCGCTGCCTGTGTACTGACCCAGCGGCTCCTCAGGGATGATTTTTTACTGGAGTTAAATGTTGTTTTTTTTACTTGAAAAGGGTGAACATTCTTTGTGTAAGTGTGCTTGACCCAATTTTGCTTAATGCTGTGATTTGTACAACTATAAAGCATCACTTATACTTGATCAGAGTTCAAGTATATACATATGATATATATCATTTGTATTGTGTGCTTCTACTGTGACATGTCTCCATGCTTTAATGTTCAAAAAGCTCTTTATTTTTCTCATCCTGCCTGTGCTGCAGCACCTCTTTCACCCTCTGTCTGAAACCATGCCCAGTCTGCTCTGTTATCTGGCCGCCTCCGTTGTAATTGGTCAACCGTTAGAGATGTGTCAGATGTCACGCCCCTTAGCCAATCAAGTACAATGTGTTGTGTTGTTTCATATGAAGGTTACATTCCACAGAAAGATGTTAAATGTAGTGTGAGAGTGGTGCAGTTTCTCTAAAAGCATACCCGGACGTTAGCATCCCAAGGGCTCCCTCAACTAAAAGCAATGGGATTTGTCCATTGGATTTTGGAGTATAGCAGAAAATAAGATCTGTGTCGAACAAACGTTTATGATACTTACATGTTTTGTTAAGCAGGTAATCTTTGCATATATACCACCTTATGTTTTTGAGGCGTAAATGCAATTGACAGAAGTAAAAATCTAACGTTAGGCTATAAACAAACTACATCATGGTCACATGACTTCACGTCACCACCGCTAAGCTAAAAGGTGGCTGATGTTTTTATGACAAATTGAAGTTTCAGACATTTACCAGTGGAGTGTTTATTGACAGATTTTATGTTGTAGAACAAAACATGAACATTTCTAACCACAGAAATCATTTCAGGCATCATTCAAAACGTTTGTGACTTCTAGAATGGAACGGGAAGTTGTAAAATAGTGAATCATTTCCAGATTTTAGGACTCGTTCCTGCACCCCTCTATAAAGAGTTCTTTTTAAAATACTTTGTCTGGCAAAACATCTATGTTTCTCTTACTGCAGAAATAGA